CATAGTTGGTTTTAGTAAACAGTGCATCACTAAACTTTTGGATAATCCACAATTGTAAGTTAATACCACTCGCTATACAGGGTGTCCCTGGACTCTAATCGACCAAAGTATCATTGTACCTGCACCGAAAAAAACTAAAATATAGCGTTAAAAATTTCGGAAACTCAATAATTACAGCTTTAGTTTAGTTTCCACAAAACTACTTTTATGTACAGAACTAAAATTTTGTACATACTGTAGTCCAATAACGCAAACCCCTATAACATAATCACTACATAAATGAGAAGTACAATATTTCTTTCCTGGATTATTATACTCAGATTCTACATGACACTAAAATTAATTATAACAAAAAAAAATTAGCTTTATCCCACTCTAATAACCAGGAAAAAGAATTTATTTCCTTTCGATCAATATTCTTTCTGGTTCCCTACCTACCATTGTATTATCCACAGTATCACGCAGTATGATTGGTGGGGCCGCTGACAGCTAGCGTATATAGTGTGGCGTGTCGCGGCGACATACTATCAATCAAAGCCCATGACAGATGATTGTCGCTGCGACATATGTCATAATATTGGCTCATGTCGCTCCTCTATAAGTAATTACCTTCTTGACACTCAGCTATCAGCTGTTCTCTACGTGGTTTATAGAGTCGTCTTTGTCCAGCTGTCCAAGTGACGACGTGCGTGGCTAAACAGCTGTTCGTTCTATTGCTGTTTGATTTCGATTGTTGTTCGATTTCGATTGCTGTTCGATATCAATTATTACGTTGTTTTTTTTTTAAATTAGCGTTTTAAATGTATCATTAGTAGACATGGATATGAAGACAAGGATTCTGATGGTTATTTTGTACAATAAAGCTTAAATTTCATGATTTCAATGTAGGTAGATTCTTTCATGATTTATTTTGATTGGTACTTTAATCAAATAACACTTGAAATGCGATTGAAATGGAGTTAGGTGTTGTCAATACGTCTATTTCGATTGTTAATTTGTGCAAATATAATATTAGAAAGGGATTGTAATGTATTTAGGTGTTTTCAAGACATGTAGCCATAATATGGAATGAAAAATTATTATAGTAAAGAAGTAATAAACTTATCTTCTAAATAAATAAAAGTAGTTTTGTAAGGATATTTCCGTCATTTACATGATCTTGCCAACTTCGCTCTCCCCGAAAGGGATAATTCTACCCTTGAATGTCTTTGGATCAGTTGGAAATTTCTAAAGTTTCATCAGAATCTGTAAGAAAATGCTCAAAATGTGATATTTCATCTTACGTCGGCCTTATGGCAGTTTAAATACACTTACATGACTATACATGTATATTAAATTGAATTAGTTTCGAAGAAAACAGAAGATCTTTGTTATTTTTGTATACAAATCAGTTAATTTCCCGACGAAATATAGTCAATTCAATTGTTCCCAAGTTGAAGCCAGAATTATTTTAAAATGAAATAAAAGTGAAAATGTGAGGATTGTACATAACAGTTGATTCCCCTACACCTTTGATTAATTTTTACACAAAACTCAACAACATTTAAATTTTTACGTCACAGTGATTAAAACCAAATTTTCCTATGACATGCTGAACTTTTGTCTCGACGGATACATTTGGTACAATCTGGTCATTTTGCCTTTTTTAAAGCAACAGTGAGTATTAACAGATTCAAATGCATATTCCAACATAATATTGAGCTAGATTCAAACAAAAAACACAGGAACCTCCTCACAAGACATTGAACTATTTTAGAACAAGATACCCTCATACCATCTATTTCATCTTGTATCTGTTACATTCCAGTTCAATCATAATGACGAATTCGTGTAATTGGTTCCATTTAACATTTACGCCTAAACTAATATATTTGATCTTTTCCCCTATTCTACGTTATTTGTGTCTCGATACATTCGACACCTGCAGGAATCTCTCAAGATGGCGATCCTGGCGTGTTTTGTCCTGCCCGCGGCTCTTTTCCTGCAGGAACAGGCCCTCCTCTTCATTACGGCAATTCAATTATGCCCGTTCCCTCGCGCGGGTGGTCGAGTCCATAGGGCGGAGCGACCATATCTCTCCTATTGTCATCTCTCTCACTCTCTCACTCTCTCACCTCCGACGCCCTCTTCTCTTGTCTGTTTCTTCCATTTTGATCAGGTGATTTTTTTTTCTTTCCCGAAGTCCGTTTCGAATTGAGGTTAATATTTAGTTGAGTTTCGCGGTGTTCCTTTTCACGTGTGAAGCAATTTTCTTTAATTAGGGTCATTTACAAATTTATTTGTTTCTTAGTTTGGAATTGTGTTTTTTTTTTAAACAAAGACGAAGTAAATTATAACCTAGAATGCAAGTGAGATGGATATCAAATACTAAATACCATAAAATGTTCAACGAATACTATACAGTATGTGGGAAATAGTTATACTGTTTTCCAAATAAGGCATTTCTAATCTTCGATATGTTTAGACTTTATATAAGCGTCCTTGTATGTGCTTCGTTAAATTTGGGGGTTGGTAAAGAAATTGACTTGAAGTTTGTTTACGAGAGTGCTACTTTACCTACTTATATTACTAATTGTTTTACAGAAGGTAGATTATAGGGATCAGAGTGGGTTTTGGGTTATACCCAAAGAGTAGTATTTTTTGTAAAATGCGAACCGTACCATCGGAAAAGAAGTAGAATAAAAACTCTCAAAGTCAGTAGGGAGTAGAGGGTTCTGTTGGATACTAGTTGAAGTGGTTTGTTTGAAACACAGGGCAGAATTAACTTAATTTACACATATAGTACTGTATACTGCATATGTAGGTTACGATAAGGATAATGTGCATAAGTAAGTATAAGAGAGTAGATTTAGATGTAGATACAAGTTCGATGATGAAGTGAGCGTAGTTATAGGCATATGAGGATACACAATGATGTAGATGAGAATGGGGGGCAGAAAAGAGGAACAGCTTATAAGACCACTGGTTTACAACACAATCACGTCATAGGTGGATGTATATGTAGATGAGGAATACAGATGAAGAATGTTAATCTAAATGCAGGGGAGGGAATATATGTAGATAAACATAATGGTGTAGATTAGAAGACAGATTTAGATGTTGATGGAGACGAAGATGGAGATGGAGTGGATGATACACACGGAGGGGTACCCTTCCTTACAATGTATATAGAGGTACAAATGTGGGTTGTAGATTAAGATGCAGATTTATAAGTAAATTCAGATGGGGATACAGATGTAGATGTATATTCAGTTGAGTATACAGAAGGAGATGTAGATATACGTGTAGATATGTTTATGTATACACAGAGGAGGATACAGAAGAAGATGTAGATAAAGGTGTAGATATGTTGATGTAGACACAGATGAGGATATGGAAGATGATGTAGGTAGATATATGTGTAGATGGATGTGTAGATGTAGACACAGATGTAATGTAGATGTAGACACAGATGTAATGTAGATGTAGACGCAGATGTAATGTAGATGTAGATGAGGATGTAAGCAGTAAGCAGCAGGAGGGGGAGACCACCGGTCCATAACATATCGCATTATCCGTGTAAATTCCACGGGGCGTGTCGTGTCTCCTCCCACCACATAAATCTGGCATTTCTGTAATCTTTTTGGACCTCAATAAACTACTTCTTGGTGGGGCTTCTTTTGTGGTCAAACATGACTAATATATTTAACACCCCCCTCCTCACATTTGTTACCTACCTGGCGGTGTGAGGATGATTCTGTAATCTGTCTTTTTATTAGTCCTTCTCGCCCGAGTTGTAAATGTGCCAGTAACGCCACAACACTTTATCACTCAGATTGTGGCTAGTTTTAGGCAATGAGTGTGTCTTTTGGATGGGATTTAGCTATTCTAATGTTGTTTCTAACTTAGAGCAATAAGTGACGTTTTTGTATATAATAATAGGCAAGCATGTTTAACCTTTTTTCTCAGCACGTGTGCATCGCAGAGAATTTTTCTTACTGTTCCGTTGGATTTACCATTTGTTTTTATAAATATATTATATATTGATTACTGAATAATAATAATATTTCATCATAATGATTATAATTTTGACAAAACACCTTTCTCAAAATTAAATGTATACAGTTTTAAAATATGGTAGATGTGTAAACACGTCTGTTTTATTAACCTTGCGTGTTTTCAACAAAATTGTTAACTTGATGTTAAATATTGAAGAATTTATGATTCTCAATACGTCATTGCTTTGGCTTGGGACTCCAGAACCTTCTCGATTGTGGTATCCCAAGATCACGGTTACGTGCTTATATCCTGATATCGCGGCGATTGACCTTGGCGCAATTGTGAATTTGTGATCACGTAAACCTAGTAGATGTCTACTCTGAACGGGATAGCCCCATACTTGGAATACATATATGATACATACAAATTTCCATAGCTTCTCAATCACTGTCGATTAACATTTATTTGTTTACTGATTAGACAGTGGCTCTATCGGTAGTTCTAATGCAGCGATGTCCTAAAGTTAATGTTTGTACAGTAATGGTTTAGCTCTTACATTGTTTTATATGTAACACACAAAGTCCTTTGATGTGGGCCCATGGGTCGTGCATTAATTGCGCCAAAGAGTTCCTTAATTGCGCCCAGCCCTCAAAGAGTCCCAAAACATTTGCCTTAGTTGCGCCAAGCCCAAGACAGGGAGAGACGTGTTGCCGGCATAAGGATTGTCCTTGTTTACGTGTCATCCTATTCATCCTAACCTAACCCAACCTAACCTAACTTAACCTAACCTAAGCTACGTTCTCAATTTTACTGTAAAAGGGGCACCACTTGGCGCAGTTGATGAACCTATCGGATGGCTCCCTGGAGTAGTTGGCGCAATTCAGAAACACCCGACTACCTGGCTCATGTAATTTGGCGCAATTAATGCCCGCCCGAGCCATGGACGGGAGGATACAGGTTTAAAGGTCCGCAAATCTCTTTTTATCCAAATTACAAAATCTATATACACTTTTAAAACTGACCAGTCTACCGGCGTGGTTGTTGTGAAGGTTTATCCTCGATTGGATGTCTACACCTTTCTCTCTAGAGTCTAGGAACATTGTGGAGAACTTGATGCCGAACTCTAGGTTGTGCGAACATCCTCCCCACTTCCACCGGTTGCTGGGCGAGCCTCTGGTGCGGGCGAAGGCCTTGGGTTCGCAGCCACAGGCGAGTAGACTCCCCTGGCCACAAGCCCTCGCCACACTGTGAGCAACCCCTGCTGCTGAGATGGCGTATGAGAACGCAGACTCCCGGTATCCTGAAGGAAGAACGGGGTGGTTAAACTTTTGTGTATATTTTACAGGCAGAAAGGCAGTTAACTATGCTTAACTGCAGCTATGAGACAAGAGGTTGGCTGTACACCAAGTACAACATCCATGATATCTATACACAAAGTAAACATTTTACTTAGACTATTCCAAAGTTAATCTTCCATACATTTTGTCATTGTATTGTCTTTTTGTTGATTTTGATTTCATTTGTTCAAAATGTATTATTGATTATTAATTGTTACATGTGGTTTACTTTAGTTTCAAAGGGTAAAGGAGTGTTCTATGTGCAATTTTGATAAATAAAAAAATAAAAATGATTAGTATTTGTATTTAACAAAAGATGATACTTGCTGCAGAATACTAAAAAGCGTCAATAACTCCAGAATCAAACATAAACTATTTAACAAACACCTGTAATCATGGCAGTTTTCACAACAGTAAAAAGTTTTAGTGAATTTTACAATTTCAATTTGCAATACATCCTGGGTGTTAAAACCCGTACGGTAACCATACAAATATGTAGGCCTATCCAGGGAAAAAATAATTCATGAAAAACAGCCAGCCCTCTGTGCACTACTACTTACAAGGAAGCAAATAAAATAACAAATATTCTCACAACCTCGCTTATCCGACCATGCCCTGTCCAGTCCGGGTTGTCTGTGCTTGACGTTTGACAGGGGAATTTATGGGGTCTATGGGTTATTGCATAGTATAATTAGACCGATTGGTATGCCGGGTACCATAACGTGCCGTCGAATGGTTGACGGCGAAGACGGACGAGGCCATTGTCACCGGCGACATATCGGTATATTTAATACACTCTTTGTCCGCCAATAAGGTTAATCAGCACGATGGTAATCAGCTGTGTCGTGGGAAAGGTGAGTACGTACTACGTAGTGCAATACATACGAGTGTAAAGTACTTTTACATACGACCGTTTTTTAAAGTAGCCGTTTCAGTTCAGTTCTTAGAATTGAAAAAGTTTCACTTAACAGCATTGTTTACTTTTATAACAGCATAGTTTTACTGATAACAACACGGGTAACGGACCAATAAGGTTCAAGGATTGAGAGAGAAGAAGTAAGATTTTAATTATTCGAACTTCAACTAATCAGCTGTTCAGGCCAATTTATTTGTTGAGTGGTGCAATGAGTGTTTGGTACGATGTTTCGTTGTATCACTGTAAGTGGCAATGAGAGGTTATAAACAAAAAATAACCTTTCCTAGTAGTTATGAGCAGTGATTTTTAGTAATTAAAACACTGTCGTAGGTAAAGTAGTATCTACACGTAATCGTTGCATAAACTACTATAATGCGCCCATAGTGGTCTGACCTGTTTTGGTCATTTCGGCAGTATTCAAGTACGCAAAAACAATGTAATTCAAAGCTTGCGTTGTGGAAGACTATTCTTTTGAACAGGTGATACCTTTTTGAGATCTGATCTGATGAGATGTTGACGAGTGCACCAACGAAATATATTGTTTCATATAATCATCGCTGTGTAAAATTTCAAAAGTTTCATTATATTAAACGTTTATACACAGACATCTTTTTAGTACTGACTTTACTTTTTTTCATAACAAAACTGTTTAAATAATGCAAAAGCAAATATTTAGTTTTACCTATGAATACTGTTATATAGTTTTTCGACTAAATGACACTTTGGACGACTCGGTTGGAATGAGTTTTGTGTGTGGTTCTTAAGTTAGTGTTATATACGCATGATTTTATGATAATTGCACCGCCTACTAAGTAATACACTAAAATTATGAGTCAAACTTATATATTTGATATAAGTTTGAACTTGTACATATTTGTACAAGAAATTGTAATTTAATCTCGTTTTAACACGTGTTACTGATAAAGTAATGTCAGCAAATACAGTAAGACGTTTCTAACCCCAAAAGGTAGTTTTTATTATTTTTTTATTTCTATGATGCTAGTCACGAGCCCGGGATTGTTTTTCACATCAGGCTAGACCTAGGGGTTGCGCCATTATCACTTAGATAAAGTCCATTGGTGATTTGGTGGGATTTAGCCCGGGATTCAGGGACCGAAGTTCCGCTCTGTAACCACTAGACCAGCTTGCTCCCCCAAACCCAGTGAGGTACGGTAGTAGAGTTCATCAATATGATAGTACTAATAAAATAAACCATTGTCTCTATAGTCTAGATCCCGGATTGGTCTGGCATTTTTCTTGAGGTAGGTTTCTTTCTACTTTGTGTTCGGAAAACAGCGAGCATGTAACGGAGGCTTGTAGAGGTATGTAACAGAGGCAACGGTGGCATGTTGGATTCTCACCTATGCAGCCTCGCTGTTCTACACGGGTTCGCTTTGTTTATAATTGATTATAGCCACATTTCCTTCGTAACAAATCAACGCTTTTGCTCTCCACATTGTCTCAACACGCCCGCTGGAGAACGCGATTTGTTCCGAGTGATTTGGCTTCTGTGTGAAAATGTCAGCAGGCTGTGCAGTATGTCAAACCCTCGGGAGTTTCGCTACAGGTTCACAGGTTGGTATGTATGAAACCCATTCACCTCTGGCAAGTGTTTGTTCTTTCGTGTGTGTAAATGTATTGGAAGTTTTGATTACAGATCTTTTATGATTTGAGAATCAAAAAATCTTGTACTTGTAACAAACTAATAATGACGTGTTGGTGTTATACAAAATCTGTGTATGTCTCGAAAAATATAACTAACAGTTCTTTTAGAAAACGCCTTCTCTAGAGAAACCACCACCGCTTTCTCATGAAGACCACTTCTCAGTCTTATTATCATGACAAATAAAATAAATTTTGAGAAGTGGTCTTCATGAGAAAGCGGTGGTGGTTCTTGAGAAGTGGAATCATGTATAATATTTAACGAAAGCTTGAGTACTTAGCATCTGTAAATAGGAGAGACAACACGATTAATGTGGCCGTTATTGTGATGCAGTAATAAGTTTCCTTTTCCTCTAGAGAAATAGAATCGCAGAGTTAAAGAGTATCGGTAAAGTAGAGTGGTAGAGTAGCAAACAGTTGCAGTCAGAACGTCAGACTGTATGCTGATGAACGACAGGTTTATGTCGAATGATGAATAACAATGAGAAGGAACACCTCATGGTTGCAGTTGCGGCTGCAACGGTTGCAGGTTTGTCACCGGTGATACATGTCTTTCAACCACCTGCTTTTACAATATTTATAACCGAACGTCCCCGGTGCGGTACAACTTGGACAGACAGGAGGGAGACGAGCGATTATGCAAGCGACGAGACTTATGAGCGGTTTGTGCGGCGGAATCGCTTGGAATAATGTTTTAGCGGTGGGAAAAACTATTCACAGCGATATGTTTACTAACTGAGCTAGCTTTGAGTTGTGTGATCGGTCGTCGATTATTGAATTAGCGTGTTGCTTGGTCATTCAGAGGCTAAATATTAAGCGGCTAGGTGGGAAAATCGATTTTGTATTCGATAAAAACCAGATGATCCTGAATATAGAATCTGGATTTTGAAATGTGTACTTTTTTACTGCCGGTCTTCAGCAGATGACGTCCTCAATCACCATCTTGTATAATGTGAGCATGTTACCAATTGGGTGCACAAAAAGTTGCTTGTTGATTTTTTATGATTGCCATAAGCAGACATTTGCACAATTTTAAATCAGATTAAAGATCAAGTTCTCAGTGCTATTTTTGTTTACCCAGTAATGTAAGAAATAACCATTTCCTAGAGAGCGAGCTGGTCTAGAGGTTGGAGCGCGAGGTTTCGGGGTAAAAAGTCACGGGATCAAATACCGCCACACCAAATGCGTGGGGGGGGGGTATATTCCGCCAGTCACCAATGGATTTCATCTATGTGGTAATGCCGCAACCATCTAGGACTAGCCTGGATTAATGTGTCTATAGCGTCCAAATAAAAAATAATGCCAGGATTTCTACCATTTCTCTAGGAGAAATTGCTTGGACAACAAAATGTCGATTATGGCCCATAACAAAATTAAACATAATTATATATAAAAATAAAGATACATTTTTCTTGAATGATGTGGAAATCGAGCAATAATACCCAAAATGAGATATCCTCGAAAAATCTTTCTAAAACATTCTATTACGTGACATGAATGAAAACTAACAAATTTCAAACGACACAATCTACTATAGTTTCTCTTTCCACACAGTCTCGCTGTCCCGAAACCGTGCGAAAACAAGAGTAAACGCACGGAGATCAACCTCTGTTTATATCAGGGATCAAACGGCATGTAGAGTAGGAGCGCATTAAAGTGAAGTGACCCGGCGTTGGCTACACGTAGACATGAAAGAGCACTATCAAGATACAGATAAGGATGTGGCACGGTCCTTCTGGAATGTGATTCCTGACTGTTCCACTCCATAAAGATGTGGGCGCCGAGTAGCGTGGGAATTGGACAACGTGACTCACCGGGAAAATTTGGTAACAGGTTACTTGGAGGTGAAAAGTGAAGGTTAAGTAACAGGTCACACGTTCCGCTCTCTAACTGGAGACCGATATCGCTCCTTATGAGTGATTATTGGTGAACATTTGGTAACAGGTTACTTGCTTGGGGGTGAAAAGTGAAGGTTAAGTAACAGGTCATAGGTTCCGCGCTCTAAGTAATAGACCGATTTCGCTCCTTAGGAGTGATTATTGGTGAAAATTTGGTAACAGGTTACTTGCTTGTTGAGGTGAAAAGTGAAGGTTAAGTAACAGCACTTTAAGTAATAGACCGATATCGCTCCTTATGAATTGATCCTTATGATTATTGGTGATGAAATATCTATATCGAGAGTACTATGTACAGAGTAGCAGTGTTGTACAATCAATGGTTTATTTATATTTGAGTATACTAACGTCATTGACATTGTTCAACGTTTTGTGTAAAAGAACAGTTTAAACCTTTGCCTTAAACCCAGACATACTGTATTTTTATCAGATAGCATACTTAATTGTATAGTTAAATAACTGAGTGGACATAAAGCTCGCCTAATAATCATAAGAACATCGGTTCGATCCTGTCCTGAGAGAAGTGTCTAGCTTTTTGTTGTTTTGAAACTGGACCTATCTGCCTTTGATCGTTTAGATTTTTAATAAATTAATGGCCCTGGTTTGGCTAGTAAAACAACTAATCTTAGTCAGTAACACATCCACTCTCTCTTCACTCATCTTTGGATTAATATACACGGCTAGGTTAACGTTTCCTTCTTAAATAGTAGTAATACGTAATCAATGATGGCTAATCGATGGCATACGTGTCCAAAATCGATATCGCTCGGACTCGAACCAGTGACCTTCAGGTTTGAAGGTGAGCACTAAAACTACTCGGCTACCCAGACAATGGTTTACATGGGAATCATGGAAGTTTATCTAAATTAATCAAAACATGTCCATAATAAACAAAATGTTTTAAACTGACAAAAACTATGCTGGCAAATCTCTTCTGAACCAATTTAGATTCATTGCAGCCATAAAATACCCTAAAGGTGAAGAGTTCGTCAGTGACATCAGTGTCACAATCAGCTAATGAAATCGCGTGTCCCTTCATGTGCTACGATTCATTGGATCTTGTTGAACTTGACGATGTCTCTTTGATAAAACGTTTGATACCATGATACAACTACAGTATCATTAACCTAACGTAGAGGGGAAATCCGATTGTGTAGGTTGTTTGTAATTTTGTGTATTGGTAACAATGGTATGTTATTTTCGGGATTGATTCGTTTGTTAAATCGATTCTTAGGTTTTTTATTAGTTGTATTACTATGACAGTGGATTTAAAGGTATGTAAAAAATGTATTATTAGAGATTATTGTTTACATTTTTGGTTTTCCTACATTAGGAATCCATTTATAAGGGGGGAATCTATTTATCTCACTCGTTGGTCTGCTTGAGTGCCAAGTGTAATACAAAAACTCAAGTAAAATCTGGATTTTCAATTGTAAAACTTAAAATTTCATTGACTGCGCTACAGGTGACTAAAAAACAATGCAAAATGAGTGTATCTTTTGGGTAGGTTTGTAACTGACAAAGATCAGCATGTGTTGTGTATGTCTAGTGGTGTGTTGTTGGACTTTGATGTGCAATTTTTGCACCCAAAGAATAAAGGGATCGACGTATCCTATCTTGATGATGAACCTTTAATATGCTTTAAAATGTACTTATTTTGTAAATACTAAGGTTAAACTATAGGAACGGATAAGCCTAGTCCTCTAGATTATTCCAAAATGACACTGCATGAGATATCCATAGTAAATAAAACAAACAATTTTTTTTTTAATGGACCAGCCCACTTAACAAGGACAGAACCCACGTTTGAATCATCCAAAAGATCATCATGGACATCTATGATTCGTACATACAAGATTGAAACATCCAGCACTGCAAATCTGCCCGGGTTCTCGGGTGTCACTTAAGTCTACCGGACAGACAAACCGTTCTTAATCTGACACGATCTGCGAGAAGCACCGTGTCTAGACACTAGACTAGTGGAGGATTGGTTAGACACAAGCCGTATAATAGATTGTCTTTATCGAGTAATTGGCTGTTCAACGTAAATCTCGGCTGCATTCAGTTGTCTGCTGCTTGGCTGAGTGATGTGGACATGCAAATAGAGACCCTCTACGAGAGGCGATCCCTGGGACTCCCACTTTCTACCTGGGCCTCTGGAACTGTGTCCGGGAAAAATGCGTTCTCGGAAGGTTTCCTTCGCGGGAAGATTGGATAAGAGGGTTCTTAGGGTAAGCCAAAAAGAACGACTAAGCACTGTAATCGAATTCTTCTTCTGTTTCAACTCACATATTACTTAAAATAATGGTATTTAAATCACATTGAATCGTGTCATCTCCAATCATCATATTCAATTTATCCCTATAATCTATACAAATTAATTTTCCTTTCACTCTTTAAAGTTTCTAAGTTTACTGTTAGGAAATATTCGAAATTCCAATTTTAAGTTCATCCCATTTTTCACCTTGCTGTGTACTGGTACTGAAACATTTTTTCGTACAGCTAAGTTATTTGGTCACACCTTTCCGTAAAAGCACTTCTTTCCTGAAGCTCTCCCAATTCCTTCCGAGCTACTGCTAGGCGTCTAGTTCAAATTAATGGTAACTACGAAACTTGAAATTTACTTGTACTAAATTATTACTACAAAATAGCTAACCATTAGCACCTTTTTGTAGAATCACGCTACTGTGCGGGTTCCTGTTCTTCGTATTGAGTGAGGAACAGTTCCACCGATGCCACCTGAACTGGAACTGACACTCTTCAACAGCCATCTGTAGTCCGTGGAACGCCGCCGCCGTCACGTCAGGGTACTTGTGACACAGTTCCAACTGTGACTTGGTCAACCCCGGGAACGTCTTGCAGACCATAGACGTCAATGGGAGCTCGTCACGCAACCCGGACACTCTGGAACAGGTTCAAACTGTCACCGTTGTAACGTACACAATGTAACAGGTTACATATTGATACTTGTGACGCAGTTCCAACTGTGACTTGGTCAACCCCCGGAACATCTTGCAGACCATACACGTCAATGGGAAATCGTCACGCAACCCGGACACTTTGGAACAGGTCCAAGCTGTCACCGTTGCAACGCACACAATATAACATGTTACATTGATACTTGTGACACAGTTCCAACTGTGACTTGGTCAACCCCGGGAACGTTTTGCAGACCATAGACGTCTGGAACAGGCTAAATGTTGGTTACTTGTGACAAAGCTCCAACTGTGACTTGGTCAACCCTGGAAGCATCTTGCACCATATCAATAGGAGCTCGTCACACAGTCTAGTTACTCTGGAACAGGTTAAAACTGTCACAGTTGAAACGTAGACAATGAAACGTGTTTCAGTCTTCTGTTATAAATAATCTTTTGAACCTTGACATTAATAGTTGAGATGTACGAATATGTTTCGTTGGAAATTATTTGGCTTAAACTTGTCAATACAAAATGCGTACAAACGGTCTATGTTGTCTATCAGTTGAATGGCCACTGATTGCTTATCAAAGGGCAAGTTGTTGTTGTAGCTTAAATAGTTAAGGTTAGGTTAGGTTTATATAGGCTAGTCGCTAGAAGATCCTCCTTAAAAATCTAAAAAGATTTCACTGTGACCAATAATCTTTTTTAAATTAAATAACAGTACGGCTAGGGTTGGCTGTAAATTTAAATGTTATCAAACCACATTTGGGAAACATTTACTGATTTCTATTGATTTTGAATTACCAACCAACTGTATGGTTATTAATTACCACTTTATTTTTTTAACTTACCTCTTTTAAGGTTGGGGTGTTTATTTTCACTAAAACTTCGTTTCACATCAATTTTCATGTATCCAAGACTATAGAAAATGTTCACGAAATGTGTAATAGTATCAGTGACAATATTGATTTCAATGATCATGTTACTTTTGTAGCTTACCTCTAAGGTTAAGTTAGGTTAAGTTAGGTTTACCTAGGTTTGGTTAGATTATGTTAAGTGTTTAACACCGTTATAAGTTATCAAATATCTTTACCCAAAAGTTTCTTTACCTCTAAGTAAATAGAGAATATTCAAAGGTCACGTGTTGAAGATCCTTAAAAAGGTTGTGATTGGACCACTATAACAAATTAACCTCTTAGTTATTTACACCCTACACAATCTAACACACTTCATCCACATTCATTGACCTCGTGTGATCAACTCGGCCAGTCTCGAATGTTGACGTAGTTAGGAGATGTAATGGTATTATTTTGTCAGTTCACATTCCCAGCCGTGGGAACTCTGGATCCCGTGTACCTTTAATAGCAGCCATATCTCTTGCGCGGGCGACACGCTTTTAGCGAGGAACCTGCGCACCTGTCCAGGCCCATTCACCACTTTAAGATCACCTTTCCCCAACTTTACAATCGTCATTAGCAAAGATAACTCTGCGCGGAATATATTTCTTGTGGGATTGGTTTTGGAGCACAGTATGTCCCATCCGCTTTAGGAATTTAGTGGTTTGGGAGCTATATATACAGTCCAAAACACGTTGGACTGTTTGTGTGTAATTAGAGTGATATGAAGTTTAAGGTCTCTTGGAAAACTAAGCTCATTAATTTCCTCTAACTTAACAAAATGTCAGTTGTGTTGTTGGCACAGAGTTGAACCCGATTGGAAACCGGTTACACCTCATTTACGCAGATGGTACAAAATTGTATTTTAATGCTACAAAACAGTACAGTACAAAATTACTTTATACCATGGTTTATTTTATCAAATACTAGCTGGCCCGACAGACGTCGTCCTGTCCTAATGTGGTTTTATGTCAAATGCTTTTCAAGATGAGCTCGTTCGCACGGATCAATCACGTCCTGATTGAAGTTCGTTCGCTACACTCACTCACCTAGTTGTTGTCATAAATTACAAAAAAAATAATATTGTAACTCCATTTAAATATGAGTACTCATAAGGTTTAACATGGGAAATCCCAGAGCCACTGGGGCAGAGCCCTTTTGACGGATCTGCACCAAACTTCACACAAATCATCCTTGAATAATGTTTAATAATGCCTGAAAGTTTGATTACAATCTGTCGAGTGGTTTCGGAGTCCATAAAGGACAAACAAACAAACAAACAAACATGCATATATACATTGGATTTTATATATATAGATACAACTTGTAACTTGTGTTTTGGCGTAGACGTGCATCCCGACTATTACATTGCGTAAATCATTTAAGAGTACACAATAAATTTATGTGTCATGGTAAAAAAATGTACAAAATTCTGATATTGTGTGGTCTAAGGAATATGTCGGCCTTAGTCACTAACAAGACTACAAGATCGTACCACTAATCCTACACTCATCTCCATTTAGACTTGGCTTAAAATATACCTACTTTGTATGGTTGTCATTTCAATTAAAAGTATTAAAGTATTGTTTACAGTTTAATCATGTTATTTGAAACAGGGACCTCGGGTACCGAAGCACTGTACTCTACCACTAGACCAGCTCCATTCCCTACTCTGGCAAATATCTGTACCTAATTTGTGTAAAACGCCATATATAGATTGATCAACGTAATTCTTCAAATCAGAAATATGTTGATATTATTACAGTATTTTCATTTTACACATATCCTACATGTATCCCACCTGTTAAGCAAGTTTACAACTCAATATATCCGTACTAATTTTCTTTGGAGCTAGCGCAAACCGACTCAAATATGCTGCTCTATTAGATACCCACAATTAAAGCAACCCCATAAAATGAATCCGGTCACGGTACTGGCAGGCATTCGCAGTAATTGTGTGACCATATAGGTACGAGACCTAGTAACTTACGCGGCGTCTACTCCAGTAACAGTGATGGGATGCAAATAGCTCTGAACTACGCGACCACCGCGACAATAGTCAACGTAACGGCACCGCTATTGGCTAATTGGCTAGGTACGAGCCTCTGGGATTGGCTCACTTGGTCTGGGTAATTGGATCCTGAATGGTATTTTGAGGGTATTCATCTTGATGTAAGTATCCATTGACTTTTAGATGGAGTAGGCTTCCAGAATGGACTTTGGTCAATTTTCTGTTCAAAGAACATTGTTAAATAAGCCACTCATAGATTTTTAAGAGTCCAGCTGGGTACCTGGAAGTGTCAGATCCAGTCTAGTAATCGCCGCTGACACAAAAGTGCTCATGATAGGCGAAGAAAAACAGTGAAATAGTGCTCATGTCTAAAATGGTCATGAACTAGATTTAGGTTTCAAAAGTCAAAGTAGATTGTCGAATCTGTAGAAGATAAACTGGAGAATATACTGGCTGACGATTCGGATGCCTTTTAGCAATAATTTTTGGATACTGAAGACGATAGCCCATATTTATGAATCAGCTAGCCCATTTTTGTATTTAAAAAAGTTACATGCACTACTCATAGATTAGATTTCAAACAACGTTGATTTACCAGAGTGCATCTACAAGGCGAAGACGAGTGAAGGATTAGTAATGGGTGAATGATATTACATCTTTGTTACTGAATGAATTCAGGTGATTCTTGAGCTAGGACTATTTAATACAGTATTGGATCAATTACATATTATCATGTCGTCACTAGGTATCTAAGCTAAGTGTAGAATTTCGGTAGCGTGTGGAGTGGACTGTATTTATAAGTTAAGCGGAGTTTGATTCTTCAAATTAGAACACTGAGATACAATTAACAAATAGTTTTAATATTAACAAATAAACTTTCAATGATTTTACAGAACTTTAAAGAGAGATTACAAAAGAGAGAGAGAGATCTTCATCTTGATGTGTTTGTTTTCAACTAACAAATTACTAATAAATTATTTCATTGTTAAATCACATATGTTGTTTTAAACATTAAACCAAATTAAAAACCAATGCCACCTGTATTTATTTTTAGTTGATAGAAAGCATTATTATAACAAAGTTAATTATACTGAATATTACTGAACATACCCCCGCCCGTGAACCACTTAGTGGGGTTCACCTAATAATCAAGTATTGAGAAGAAAAAAAAAATGTATTTAGAAATGAACATATTATTTACAATAAACTCTTGGTTAACAGTCTTAACTTCTTTTATTACTCATTGATTGGGAGGGGTGAGACTTTAGTTATAGATCTGGAGAGTGTTCCTGTTGAAGTTTTTAATCTTACAACTCGTACAAGACCATCTTGCCCTGGGGAGGTTGAAATGACACGTCCCATTTTCCATGAAAGGGGAGGTTGGTTTGGTTCATGCAATAGGACAAGATCTCCAATTTTCATGTTAGGTTGAGGACTTCTCCATTTCCCTCGTTGTTGCAACGTGTAGAGGTATTCCTTTTGCCATCTTTTCCAAAAACTTTGGGTTAATGCTTGAACAAACTTCCACCTTGACAATCTGTTTGTTGAGACATCATTCCAGTTAGCTTCGGGAAGAGATAAAAGAGGTCCTCCAATCAGAAAATGACCTGGAGTTAAGCAATTAATTTCGCTGGGGTCAGATGAAAGTGGGGTTAAGGGCCGTGAATTTAGAATTGCTTCGATGCGAGTGGTTAGTGTGATGAACTCTTCAAGAGTAAGAATCTGTTCGCCTATGACTCTCCGAAGATGGTGTTTGACACTGCGGACAGTTCTCTCCCAAAGGCCACCTTGGTGTGGAGCTGCGGGGGGTAAGAAATGAAATGTAATGTTGTTTTCCATTGCAAACTTACTAAGAGCTTCTTGAGTTTCTTTCTGGACGAAGAAATTCTTAACAATCTTTTGAACTTCATTAGCGGCACCTACATAATTTGTTCCGCAGTCCGAGTAGATGTTGCTACACAACCCTCGTCGAGAGACAAATCTCGTCAATGCTGCTAGGTAAGCTTCGGAACTGAGATCTGTAACAACCTCTAAATGTACAGCCTTGACAGAAAAACAAATGAAGATACAAAC